GCGGGGCTGCGGTGCCGCTCCCCCCCCGCCGCCGGTCGCTCCGAGCCCCGTCCTCCCCGCAGCCGTTTCCCAGCGGCAGCGTTGATGGCTGGGGGCGGGGGAGCGCTGCCCGGGGCTGGGGAGGGGGGGTTGTTTTTGCAGAACAAGGTGGCACTGTTGCGGCCGCAGCTGCCGGCAGAGCGGGCTCGGCGCCCCGCAGCCACCGGCGCGGAGCGGAGCGGGACGCAGCGGGCGCGCAGCCCGGGACAGACAGTCCCCGAGCCGGATCCGGGGGAGGGAGCGTGGGACACTGGTGCCCCTGTGTCCAGCCGGGGGATTTCTATGAGAGGACGAAGGGTTTTTAAGATCCTCTTCAAACTTTCCCTTTCCGCCGGTGGCGGGGACCGGCTCAGCCCCGGGGACGCGGTCCGGATGCTCCGCGTGTCCTGCGGTCACCGGGCTGCGGGAAAGCCGGGTCCCGGGCAGCGCCTCGCCCCTGGGCTGAAACTGCTCACGTTACACGGAAAAAAGGACTGATCTTGTCTTTGAATCTCTCCCGTTAACCAGCCCTTGTAACTCTGTCTTCCCCCCCCCAGCTACCTTTACTGAAGTTCCCAAAGATGTGACTGTTAGGGAGGGAGATGATATTGAGATGCCTTGTGCTTTCCGAGCCAGCGGATCCACCTCTTACTCCTTGGAAATCCAGTGGTGGTACCTTAAAGAACCAGCCAGAGAACTTGCACACGAATTAGCCATCAGTGTCCCCGGCAGCAGGAGCAAGGTAATACAGAGATATATCTATTCATCGAGTGCAGCGTGCTCAGAGGGTGATCAAAATAAACTCAGCAGTCCCAGAGAGGAAAGTGCCTCCCCAGTGAGCAGCTGGAGGCACTGGCATCCCCAGGCCCTCCCTGGGGCAGAGGAGGAGAGGGCATGCACCGTGGGGGACTTCACCTCAGGAAAAAAAAAGGCAGTGCTTTAGGGATTGTAAATAGAAAATGATAAATGCTGCTGCAAAATCAGCAATGAGGACCCAAGACAGGCAGTCAAAACCAGCTGTAGTGTGAAGTGGGGACAAGCAAAAACCTGCTTCTGTGGGCTGAGCTAGGAATTGTTGTAAAAGGTGGGAGAGCTCCTCGTAATTGCTGTAAAAGGCTCGCTCGCTGACAGCGCCGATAAAGGCAGGAGGGCTACACCTCTCTCTGCTGGTATGTTAAGTACACATCAATCTGCATATACAAATGCACACAGTTTCTTGGGGTGCACGTACACACCTGTGTCCGTATCTAGAGCTCAGCAAGACATTTTCAGGCAGTCAGATGTAGTAATTAAAATGCATGAAGTGGAGTTAAATCTTGCGTGTCCTTTCTCCTCCCCCTCGCAAGCCGCCTGCTGTGAGGGTAGGCTCTAGCCTAAATTTTTCAGCTGCATTTCCCCAACGTAAGCCAGTTCATTCTGCAGCCTCCCCCCCGGTGCAAGACACCTTGCTGGTGCCAAAGGGGGCTGTACAAGGGGTGGGCTGCAACAGGATTTCCAGGCTGTGCTGCTCTACTGCACGGGGCACGTCATCCTCGCCAGCCCCCGGCCTCTGTGCCGGCAGGGTGCCCCGCGGCAGCCTCCCTGCCTGTGCCAGCTCCCCTCTCTGTGGCACGCTTGTTTTCCTGCAGAGCTCAAATAGAGATGCAAAGCATATAGACACTGAGCTAATGTGATGCCGCCTAGCTGGGGAAAGTGTAAGTCAGTTGTCAGACAGGGAAATAAATCGCTGGGATTTAAATGTCTTCTTTAACCTTATATAAAAACCGTGAGTTGCTTTTACAATAAATGATGACAGGGCATGCCTGGAGAATGATGACCATCTCCCTGGGAGGCGCATCAGTGAGATCCTGGCTTTACAGTAGCTGCAGACAAAAAAAAAACCAAAAAAACACCCAAAAAACCCCAGGTATGAAACCTGCTGAGCGGTACCTGCTCCCAGGATGTTTCAGGACCAAAGCTCTGCCCTGAGCTTCCCCGCTGTGCTGGTGCATCTTCCCCCGTGTCTGTCGCTGAGCAGCACGGCGTGCAACAAGCGTTTCTCTGGCCGCTGCTCGCAGCCTTGGAGAGGGCAGCGCTTCTGTGGGCACCACGGGAGCTTTTCCAAAACAAGTCCCCCCAGCTGAGCACTGGTTTGCTGCCTTCCCCATCGCCTGGGGAGCTCCCCTCAGCCAGGCAGGGGCTGTATGAATGGCAAGTGGAGAAAAGTTGTGTCTGCCCGTGTCCTGTCCTTGTGCCGGGGTGGGAGGATGAGCATCTTTCTGATGTGCTGGCAGCGCCCAGTCTAACCCCCCCCTGTTTTCTGTTCTTTTAGGTAACAAATAAGGATGCAACCAAAATCAGCGTAAGTGCAGCTCCAGCGGGGTGGTGCGTGCCCCCCCTCCCCTACGCGTGGGGTTTGCGGCGTGCCCCCCTCCTTTCCCGACACACCAGTGCACTGGTCTCACTGGCAGCCCCTCTCCTGCAGTGTGGCCGGGGGGGGTGGCACGTTTCCCCCCCGGTGTGCGGTGGCTCGGTGCAAACGTTGCCATCTGTTGCTGGTTTCGCGGTCACGTTTCATTCCTCCCGAGCCGAGCGGAGGGGGTGCGTGCCGTGCAGCCCCTCCTCGGCCACGCTCGGGAAGGACCGTGGGGCCGCCTCAGGAGAGAAGTTTGCTTTCTTCCCCCCGCAAACCCCACTCGCCTGGGGCGACCCCCTTCTCTCCCTGTCCCGCAGGAAACGAGCCCCTTTCCCCGTGATGCGGGACCGGGATTGCCCCGGCCACGTGCCCGCCGGCTGCTCTGCGCCGTGCTCGGGCGCGGCTGGGGCCGTTCCCTCCCGGCCGAGCCTGGGCCGCACCGGGACCGCGGGGCGCGTCCTCGGTGGGGCTGGGTGTCACGGCGGGGCACGGAGACCCCCGGGGGGCCGTGTTGGGGGCGGTTCGTGCGGGCTGGGGGGCTCCGGGGGGACTGCGGGGCAGGAGGAGAGGGGGAGAGAGGCCGCCCCCAGGGTAGGGGCAGGCGGGGGGG